TTTTTTTTGCATGTAGCTGTCCAATTTTCCCAACACCATTTATTAATGAGGCTGTCTTTACCCCACTGTATGCTCTTGCCACCTTTGTCAAATATTAACTGAGCATGTTGCCTTGGGTCCATTTCTGGGTTCTCAGTTCTGTTCCACTGGTCTATATGCCTGTTCTTGTGCCAGTACCAGGTTGTTTTGATTACAGTGGCTTTGTAGTATAACCTGATAGCTGGTATTGTGATCCCACCTACTTTGTCAAAATTGCTGTGGCTATTCGGGGACTTTTTTGGTTCCATATGAACTTTTGAAGTATTTGTTCTAGTTCTGTGAAATATGTCGTTGGTATTTTGATGGGGATTGCATTGAATCTATAGATTGCTTTGGGTAGTATGGACATTTTAATGATGTTAATTCTTCCAATCCATGAACAAGGTATGTGCTTCCACTTTTTTATATCTTCCTCTATTTCTTTTTTCAAGGTCCTGTAGTTTTCTGCACATAGGTTCTTTACTTCTTTGGTTAAGTTTATTCCTAGGTATCTGAATTTTTTTGGCTCGATGGTAAATGGGATTGTTTTCTCAGTTTCTCTTTCTGTGATTTCATCATTGGTGTACAAGAATGCCGTCGATTTCTTGACTTAATTTTGTATCCTGCCACTTTGCCAAATTCATGTATTAAGTCTAGTAGATTTTGATGGAGTCTTTAGGGTTTTCTATGTATAATATCATGTCATCTGCAAATAATGACGGTTTCACTTCCTCCTTTCCAATTTGGATCCCTTTTATTTTTTCCTCATGTCTGATTGCTGTGGCTAAGACTTCCAGTACTATGTTAAATAAGAGTGGCGAAAGTGGACATCCCTGTCTTGTTCCTGTTCTTAATGGAAATGGTTTTAGTTTCTGCCCATTGAGTGTGATGTTGGCTGTAGGTCTTTTATATATGGTTTTTATTATGTCAAGATATGATCCTTCCATTCCCACATTGCTGAGTGTTTTTATCAGAAATGGATGCTGAATTTTGTCGAATGCTTTTCAGTGTCTATTGATATGATCATGTGGTTTTTATTCTTCATTTTGTTTATGTGGTGTATCACATTTATTGATTTGCAAATATTGTACCAGCCTTGTATCCCTGGAATGAATCCCACTTGGTCATGGTGAATAATTTTTTTGATGTATTGCTGTATCCGATTTGCTAGTATTTTGTTCAGGTTTTTGGGGTCTATGTTCATCGGGGATATTGGCCTGTAGTTTTCTTTCTTTGTAGTGTCCTTTTCTGGTTTTGGAATTAGAATTATGCTGGCCTCATAGAATGAGTTTGGAAGTCTTCCTTCTTCTTGAATTTTTTGAGATAGTTTGAGGAGAATGGGTGTTAGTTCTTTTTTGTATGTTCGGTAAAACACCCCGTGAAGCCATGTGGGCCTGGGCTTTTGTTTGCTGGGAAAGTCTTGATTACATCTTCAATTTCCTTAGTTGTTATTGGTCTGTTCAAGTTTTCTATCTCTTCCCGGTCCAGTTTTGGGAGACTGTGTGTTTCTAGAAGTTTGTCCATTTTGCTTAGATTGTCGAATTTGTTGCCATACAGTTGTTCATAGTAGCTGTTAACGATCTTTTGTATTTCTGTGATGTTGGTTGTTACTTCTCCTCTTTCATTTCTGATTTTGTGTATTTGGGTTCTCTCTCTTTCTTTCTTGGTGAGCCTAGCTAAGGGTCCATCAATCTTGTTTATCTTTTCAAAAAATCAGCTCTTTGTTTCATTGATCCTTTGAATTGTTTTTTTGGTCTCTATGTCATTTATTTCTATTCTGATCTTTACTATTTCCTTCCTTCTACTTGCTCTGGGGTTTTCCTTTTGTTTGCTTTCTAATTCTTTAAGTTGTGATGTTAAACAGTCAATTAGAAATTTTTTTTTTCTTGAGGTCAGCCTGTAGTGCTATGATCTTCCCTCTCAGAACTGCTTTTGCTGCATCCCATAGATTTTGTGTTGTTGTGTCTTCATTTTCATTGGTTTCCAGGAAGTTTCTAATTTCTTCAATAATTTTCTCGGCAACTCATTCATTGTTTAATAACATGCTATTTAGCCTCCATGTATTCAAATGTCTTTGCATGTTCTTGTTGCAGTTGATTTCTAGTTTTTTTGCCATTGTGATCTGAGAAGATGCTTGATATGATTTCAGTCTTCTTGAACTTGTAGAGATTTAGTTTGTGTCCTATCATGTGGTCTATCTTTGAGAATGTCCCTTGTGCACATGAGAAGAATGCGAATTCTGTAGTTTTGGGGTGTAATTCTCTGTAGATATCTATTAAATCCATTTGGTCTAGTGCTTCATTTAGAGTCTCTGTTTTCTTGCTAATTTTTTGTGTAGAGGATCTATCCAGTGCTGTCAGCGGGGTGTTGAAGTCCCCTGCTATGATTGTATTGCTATCAATTTCTCCTTTGAAGTCCTCCAGAAAATTTTTAATATATTTTGGTGCTCCTATATTGGGTGCATATATGTTTATCAAGGTTATATCTTCCTGTTGGATAGATCCTTTCAATACTATCTAGTGGCCTTCTTTGTCTCTAGTTATGTCCTTCATTTTGAAATCTATTTTATCAGATATGAGTATTGCTACCCCAGCTTTTTTTTCCTTTTCTTTGGCTTGGAAGATTTTTTTCCATCTCTTCACTTTCAACCGAAGTGAGTCTTTTGTTGTGAGGTAGGTCTCTTGTAAACAACATATAGATGAGTCATGCTTCCTATCCAATCAGCTACTCTGTGTCTTTTTATTGGAGCATTCAGTCCATTTACATTTAAGGTGATTATTGATATGTACTTGTTTATTGCCATTTTTGTTTAGTGTGGTTCTATTTTTCTTCCCATTTCTCCTGCTAATTACAGTAGTCATTTTAACATTTTTTTCAGTGGTGGTTTGGTGCTAATGTATTCCCTTAGCCTTTTTTTTTTTTTTTTTTTTTGTCTGGGAAGCTCTTTGTTTGACCTTCTATTTTGAATGATAGCCTTGCTGGGTAGAGTAGTCTTGGATTCAGATCCTTGTTTTTTGTGACCTTGATTACTTCACGCCATTCACTTCTGGCCTGTAGTGTTTCTTGTGTGAAGGCAGCTGAGACCATTATGGGGTTTCCTTTGTAGGTAACCTGTTGCTTATCTTGTTGCTTTTAGGATTCTCTCTTCGTCTTTAAGTTTTGGAGGTTTAATTACTCTGTGTCTTGGTGTGGGCCTATTTGGGTTCTCCTTACTTGGGGCTCTCTGTGCTTCTTGAACTTGAATGCCTTCTTCCCTCACCAAATTAGGGAAGTTTTCTGTCACTATTTCTTTGAATATATTCTCTAACCCTTGCTCATTTTCTTCTTCTTCGGGGACTCCTATCATGCGAATATTATTATGTTTCCCGTTGTCCCACAGTTCTCTTAAGCTGTCTTCCTGTTTTTTAATCGGTTTTTCCTTTTGGTTTTCTGATTGGTTGATTTTTTTCTACCCTGTCTTCTAATTCACTGATCCGGACCTCAGCTTCCTCTACTCGGCTTTTTAGACCTTCCAATGTGTTTTTCATTTCTGATATGTCATTTTTTATCTCTTCTTGGTGGTTTTTAATTTCCAATTGGTTTATTTTCAGCATCTATATGTCCTTACTCATGCTGTTGAGCTTCCTCAAGATCATGGCTCTGAATTCTAGCTCTGTTAACTTGCCTAACTGCTCCACATTGATCTCATCTTTGGTGGAGGTCTCTTGTTCTTTCATTTGGCTTCTGTTTCTGTGTTTCACCATTTTGACTATCACAGTGGGCTTTGGAGCCTGTCAAGTTTTCCCTATGGGTATTGGTGTTCTGCTGTTTGTGGCTCCCTACCCTCGGTTTAGATGAGTGAGGGAGGACCCACGTTAAACACCACTGACAAGTCTTACTTTCCTGGTTAAAGTTGCTAGCCCAGGAAAGGTATTGTTATCCTCTAGCTTTTTGCCTGGAGGCTAGCAGTGGAGGTTACTTGAAGAGTTTTGGATTGTAAATTGATTGAAAAACCCCCACAGGTGCTCAGCATAAGGGGATTTTCTGCGGGTGGGGCAGATGCTGGTTGTTAATGAGCCTCAATTAGCATTTCAATTGCCCACAGGGTGGGGTTGGATATTCGTGGGAGGGGCTGCTGCCTCTTCTCAGAGCCCTGGGAAGGAGCAATATGCCCACTGTCCTGCGTGGCAGCAACTCAGCAAAAGCTCTGAGCGCCCTCCAGATCCCGAGTGTCCCGACACAGCTCCAGTCCAGTCTGCCCTCCCTCTGCCGGAGCCCAAGGTGAGTGGCTGTGGCTGTTTCAGTCTCTGTCCCGGCTGCGCTGTGGGGCCGCCTGGGAGTGTGACCCGAGGGCGCCGCTTACAGCTGAGGCCGCTGCCGAGCTGCCGACCGTGGGTTCCCAGTCCCCGTCTCGCGCCTTCGCAAGCCTACCGGGATGGAGTCAGTGTCCCTCGTTGTATGGTCCTCAGAAGCTGCTTTTCTGTTGCTTTTTCCCATCGATTTGTCTGTGTTATAGTTGTAATTCCAGTTTGGTTCTGGGAGACGGTCTGTGTAGCTCCGTTCACTCCGCTGCCATTTTGGAATCTCCTGATTATGTTTTTTATATGCTTATTTTTTAGTGACATACAGGGTGGGGCAAACGTGGGTTTATAATTGTGAGTAGCAAGACACAGTTATTCTTGCATTACATATCAAGTATTGTATTATTTTTCATATGAATTACTATAAACTTACTTTTTCCCCACCCTGTTTAATGAAATATCATAAAATATGGATTAAAAAACAGGAATATATACTTATTTCCCAGCCTTGGAGGTTTTGATTTAACAAGTCTGGCATAGAGTCCAGTCATTCATGTTTAAAAACAACAACACACAAAACAAAATAAAACTCCAAGGTAATTCTGATTCTTACTGCTGATTCAGGACCATCAACGCGGACCATAGCCTCCCGAGAAACCAGTGAACATGACGGAAATAACACAATAAATATTTGTGACTTACGGTGACACCGTTTCCCATCAGGAAGCAGAACAAATCCTACAGGGCATGTGCAGTAATAAGAGCCGGGGATGTTTTCACACCCAAGAGTACAGCCATGATTCCAGAAGGCACATTCATTGATATCTATACAATGACAACAGCAAAACACAGGTGGTTATTTTTTAAAATCAGTTTTTAAAATAAATCAGCCCAAAATAGAGTATCTCACACTTGTCTCTGCTGTACCTGACCATAGAAAGATTCTTTTTGGTACTCTAGCAAAGGCTGAAAGACGTCAGTTCAATGATCATGAAAGCCATTTTTATTCTGTCATAGTTTATACTTTCAAATACAGATGTTTATAGAATCACCCTTGGGGGAAAAATAATACTATTTCCCCTGAAGAGATATAGCAACTTAACACCACTTAAGGCAGGGCTGTTGAAAGTTCTTGACAAGGACAGGACATCCCTGCTCTGCTCTCCAGCCTCTCAAAGCTGACAGGACCCATCACCTGAAGGTGGGCATAGTCCCAAGCAGCATCCCTTGGGCTGACACCAAGCCTTCCTGGTCACCGCTCTGTGAGATGGCCCTCCAACTCGTCCCAGGTAAGCAGGGGACTGTACTTAATGAGTGGGTGTCACGTTTACCTAGTGTCTCACCCCAACTATTTCCACTGAGTACGGTCTGCAGCCCTTAGAGTCACTTCATCAGTCTTTCCCTGCAGCTCACTGGTATTTCTCCTGGGCTCATTCAATTTGACCTGGAGTCTTAAATAGGAGGAGCCCTGGATGAAAAGCCTCCTTCACAGTTTCTCCTGATTTCCACCAGACCTTAAGGGGATGAGATGTGGAGCCACATACTCTTTGAGAATATTATTGTAGCTATGGAACAACTTCCCTAAAATATTTGAAAATACTGGCATTTTGCACACAGTCAAACCCACGGAGGTCCATGGAGTCCACTCAGAGAACTCCTGCCTCATGCCAACCCGAGTAGCCTCTGACAGCATTTGATCTAGGAACACAAGATATAAAGAAGACCTGGAAGTATTACAGAGGCTTTAAAAATAGAGGGGAAATAAAATTGTTTCTCTGGGGAAAGAAGTGGGGAGTATAGTCGGTTTCACAATGAGGCTCGATGGCCCATGGAAGAGCAGCCAAGGGCTCAGGTGCCTGGTTTGGCTTCAGGTAGCGACCGCAGGTTACCTTCACAGTACTTCCCGTCCTGGCTTAAAGCGTATCCCTCCGCACACGTGCACACATGGGACTTGGGCTCTTGCCCACACACGCTGCCTCTGCAGTTACTTTTCCTCAGTTCGCAGAGTTTCTGATCTAAAAGAGAAGAAGGTTTATTTGAAGTAGAGGTGTGTCTTGACAGAAACAATGCTTGATTTCTTCATGGCTCTTAAGAAGTCTAATCGCCCTGTGACATCAGCAGGAGTGTTGTCTTTCACGGTGGTGGCCCTGCTCTTAGCCGAATTGCACACATTCCAAAGCCCATTTATTTTTATAATTGCATTACTCCTACAAAAGCTCCCAGGATGGGACATCTAATTAGCTGGAGATGACATTCCTTGGGTTAAAAACACTAAGCACAATTTAGCATTTTTCATTCTAATTTAGTTTCATATGAAAAATAATAAGAAAGTACATAAACAAAACTCCTGAAAATGAAGTATCTCTTTACAAAACAAAAGAGCTTCAAACCTAAAAGCGCCTGTATTTAAGTATAATAGTTATGGATCAGATCTATATATTTAGTTGTTTTTAGGGTCACTATTCAAGAACATCTTTCAGATTTAATAACTACCATTATTATGTCTTATCCCCAATTTTCTGAGTTTATTGCTTCCAACATTCCGTGTTTTACTAAGTAGACCAGGGTAAATATTAAAATCTGCTCAGTGAGGAAGGTGCTTGGGATGAACAAGCCAAATATAATGAACAACAAAGGCCAATGTGGTACCTTCAATTATCTGAGCCGGAGTCAAGGGCTAAACTAGTAACACATATACCTCTGTTCAAGTTGTACTCCTTCTTATTCTTTGCCAATTTTTAAATTTTTAAAATTCCTTACCTGAGGATACTTTTCTATTTATCATCAGAGAGAGTGGGAGGGAGGGAGAAAGAGAGACAGAAAGAAACACCATAGTGATAGAGCCACATCGACAGGTTGCCTCCCACTCGACCTGACCAGGGCCGGGGACAAATTGTAACTAAGGTACGTGTCCTTGGCTGGAATCAAACCTGCGACTCATTGGTCTGAGGACTGACACTCTAACCGCTGAGCCAAACCAACCAGGGCTTCTTTGCCAATTTTAACAATGACAAGCCCACTGTAAAATGCTCAAGAAAATACTGAGATAAACTTGACTCTGAGGGCAGATCCTAATATGCAGAGAGATATGGAGGCCAGAGCTCTAGCAAGAGGGACCTCAAGGGAAGAAGATGGGGGTCAGGGAACCTGAGTCACGCTTGGCTGAGGTCAGCGAGAACGTGTGAATCACGAGAAAAGCCAAAGACCTAAGGGCAGGATTGCGGAAAACAGCCTTGCTGTGAAGGGCACAAGAAACACGCCAGTAAGAGCCTGTGCAAGCAGGGCAAGGGGCTGAGCCCATTCTCCAGGTAGGTCTCTGCTTGTTTACTTGTAAAGGTTTCTTCACTCTTACTCTACCTGTTTCCTTCTATTTTAAACCTTTCAACACTTTTCTTGACCAATTACCAGCATTACACAGTAGAAACATATCCTCGCCCCTTGAAAATGTCCCTAGTGTTCATTGAGACCTCCTGAAGAGCAGGTCCCACTCTAGAGATTCTGATTTGGTAAATCAAAGCACTGGCTCGGGAATCTGCCTTTTTCCTGGGGCCAGAGTGATTCTGAAGCTGGGAATCTTCACACCACATTCTGAGAAACACCAGCCTAATAATACTCTAATGAAACATTTCTCCTTCATCTCAGTTGTGAATACCTCCTATTACCTAGTCTATTGCCTTACTTATTTTAAATTAATTTATTTGGATCTCTTTACAGAATTAAATGCACAATTAATTTTGTCAATTATTCAATACTGTTGTACACTGAATAGTTGTTTTTGGATATTGATTCCAAAATTTAGTTTCTTCTCCTTTTTTTTTTTTTTTTTTTTTTTTGGTTTTTGTTAATCCTCACCCGAGGATATTTTTTCCATTGATTTTTAGAAAGAGTGAAAGGGAAGTGGGGAGAAAGAGAGAGAGAGAAACATTGATGTGAAACACATCAATCGGTTGCCTCCCACCCATGCCCCATGGGGGCTGGGGGTTGAACTTGCAACCCAGGTATGTACCCTTGACTAATGAAGAAAATAATTAGTGTCTAGGGTACAGAAAATGCTCTTTCCTTCATCTACATGCAATTTTTTTTTGGGGGGGGGTACTTTTCTTTCATCTCTCACCTGCCTTTATGTGTGTTCTTATCATCATCTTATCACGATTGTCACCATCATATCAAAATTATGTATATGCATCTGTTTTCCATTAATCGATAAACTTCTGAGTATAAAGCATAGATAGATAGATAGATAGATAGATAGATAGATAGATAGATAGATATTCCATTCACATTTATAGTCCCACTTAGCATGGTGTCTTTTACACTGTAGGTGAACTATACACACCTGGAACAAGTGCACAAAAACCTGTGATTGTATCATCTACAACTTAATTCCTTTGATTTCTCCTTAAATTTCCAGTCAACCTTAGAGTTAGAACTCAAACAGATGGTCAGACTATGCCACCCCAGTACCCTTTCCACTATGCCATGCTCCTGGTGGTTTTAATAACCTTATTAATAATTTACATCACTCTTCAAAGATGAGTGCAGGCAGGAAAAAAATGACTATTTTCCTCTGAATGTGCTGATGATGTGACCTGAATTCAGACACTAAACACTTTAAAAGGTCATTTTAGGAAGTGGCAAAACATAGAGGATTGAGGTCTATATTCTTGTTTAATCTCCTTAATCTTCAGCTCTTCTTTAGCTTTCAAAATAGGCCAAAGCTAGTGCTCAGAGTGCTGTTGCTGACCTCAGATAATACCTCTTCCCAGAGCCCAACAGTGGGCTTAATTACCTTTGAGATGGAATTAAAGCTCCTAATTAATCATGGAGTTTAATGTCCACTACCAACTGTTCCTTAATAAGTACCTGGCTAACACACAGGCTCTCAGGAGCTTTACTACAGCCAAGTAAGTCTACAGATTTTATCCTGGCCCAGTTCTGAAATGATGAGCATGGCTTCCTTATCTTGCTTTTCTTCCACTGACCACATCTTTTTTATACCGCAGATTCAGTATAAGACTTGCCTCATCAACAAAGCTTACTAGTCTCTTCCACTTGAACCCATTCACTTGAATCATTCCTGTAACTGAATATTTAACACCCCTAATATCTATCAGATAATAAGAATGTGAACATTTATAAAACATTTACATTGTCACAATTAAATTTCATAACAAGCCCTTGAGCTATGCAGAGCAAGTATCAACTTCCATTTTACAGATTAGAAAATAAAATCTTAAGGATCATGTACAGGTAATAAAATAAGGGATAAGATTTGGACTCAGGTCAAGTCTTTCATTTGTAGTCCTCATCTCTCTACCATATGTACCTCATTTTATTGTGCTTTGCAGATATTGTTTTTTTTTTTTTTTATGAATTGAAGGTTTGTACCCTGAGTTGAACAAATCTGTCAGGGTCATTTTTATCCAACAATATTTGCTCATTTCATGTCTCTGTCACATTTTGATACTTATAATATTTCAAATTTTTTTCATGATTATAATATTTGTTATATTATTTGTGATCAATATCTTTGATGTTACTATTGTAATTATTTCCAATAAGACAGTGAACTTAATTGATAAAAGTTGTATGTGTTCTGACTGCTTGGTTGACTGACATCCCTCATCTCCCTCCCTTTCCTTGGGCCTTCCTATCCCATGAGACATAACAATATTGAAATTAGGTTAATTAATAACCTTACAATTGCTGCTAAGTGTTCAAGTGAAAGGAAGAATCCCAAGTCTCTCACTTTAAATCAAAAGCTAGCAATGATTAAGCTCAGTGAGGAAGGTATGTCAAAAGCCGAGATAGATCAAAAGCCAGGCCTCCTATGCCAAACAGCCAGGTAGTAAAGGCAAAGGAAAAGTTCTTAAGGAAATTAGAAGTGCTACTGCATTGAACATATGAACAATAAGAAAGTGAAACAGACTTATTGCTGATACAAAGAAAGTTTCACTGATCTGGATAGAAAATCAAACCAGCTCCACATTACCTTAAGCCAAAGCCTATTTCAGAATAAGGCTCTAACATTCTTCAATTTTAGGAAGGCTAAGAGAAGTAAGGAGTGGAAGAAGGAAAGCTTGAAGCTAGCAGAGAGTTTGTTCATGAGGTTTAAGAAAAGAAGTTGTCTCCACAACATAGAAATGCAAGGTGAAGCAGCAAGTGCTGATGTAGGAGCTGCAGCAAGTTGTCCAGAAGATCTAGCTAAGATCATTCATGAAGGTGGCTCGACCAAATAACAGATTTTCATGTAGATCAAACAGACTTAGATTAAAAGAAGATGCATCCTAGCCAGTTTGGCTCAGCAGTTAGAGCGTCAGCCTGTGGACCAAAGAGTCGCAGGTTTGATTCTGGTCAAAGGTGGCAACCAGTCGATGTGTCTCTCACATCGATGTTTCTCTCTCTTTCTCTCCCTCTCTTCCACTCTATCTGAAGATAAATGGGGATGGGGGAATACCCTTGGGTGAGAATTAAAAAAAAAAAAAGAAGATGCCATCTAGGACTTTCACAGCTAGAGAGAAGTCAATACTTGGCTTCAAAGCTTCAAAGGACAGGCTGACTCTCGTTAGGGGCTAATGCAACTGTTGACTTTAAGTGGAAGCCAGTGCTCATTTACCATTCTGAAAATCCTAGGGACCTTAAGAATTATGCTAAATCTACTCTGCTTGTGTTCTATAAATGCAACAGCAAAGCCTGGATAGCATCACATCTATTTACAACATGCCTTACTAAATATTTTAAGCCCAGTGTTGAGACATCCTGCTCAAAAAAATAACAACAACAACAACCCTATATATATATATATATATAGTTTCTTCCAAAATATCAATGCTCATTGACAATGTACCTGGTCAACCAAGAGCTCTGAAGGTGTACAATGAGATTAATGTTGTTTTCATGCCTACTAACACAATATCTATTCTGCAGCCCATGGATCAAGGAGTAATTTTTTACTTCAAGTCTTTTTGTTTAAGAAATTTCATAAGTCTATTGGTGCCATAGATAATGATTCTTC